CTACTTTGGCTATTTTCTTTTCACTTGTTCAATGCTACTAGCAGAAAACTTTCAGTTACACACATGGCTTGCATTATATTCCTATGGAGCAGTACCGCTCTAAAATCTTGCCTCTCACCAAGCACCATCTGACTGACCCACAATGTTTGCATGGAAGCCTGATAGAAGCATACACCCTCTGGCCCTAAAGCAGACCTTTTCAATCAGCATCACTAAGTTAACAAGATGCTAGATGATTCTTACTCACATTAACATTTACAAACCAAAAAAAAATCATTGGAACCACCTCATAACTCACTTGCCAGCAGGTTCTCAGAAGCTGATAATCACAAAGGAGACAACAGTCCACCTTACTCCCACAGGGCAACCCTCTATGGACTCTGCCACTCTCAAAGTTTAAGAAGCACCATCTAAAGAGTTGGACCTCTCAAATAGCCTGTGAATACGAAGTTTTGTAATTTCAAAAAAGGAATAGACTCAAGGGCAGTGTGTTGGGTTTGGTGTCTTCGTAGGAGCCTTGTTGATGCAGTAGTTAAGCATTCATCTATGAACCAACATCTTAAAGGTTCAAACTCACCAGCTGACTTATGAGAGAAGGATGTGGCAATCTGCTTCCTTAGAGAATTCCAGCCTTGGAAACCATATAGGACAGTTCCACCTTATTCAATAGAGTCTATATTAGTTAGCATTGGCTGTGTTTTTTTAATGTCTGTAAAATACACTAAAAAAGAATTATTAGAAACATAAACCAAAATCTATAAAATGCAGTTTCATATTTTTATCATTACAGTAAAAAAATAAAATTAATTTCAATAAATGTTAATTAAGCAAACAACATAGACACAAAAGAAAACAATAACAGCAAACACATTCTTTTTAAAGAGGATATTGTTGTTATGTACTGCCGAGTTGGAACTAACTCAGCTGACCCTCCAGTGGACTTTCAGAGGCAGTAATTTACATGGGAGGAGACCACCCATCATTCTCCTGCAAGAGTTGCTGGTGGACTTGAAACATGTGCCTTTGGGTTGGTAGCGTAATTGCTTACCATTAAGCCACTGGAGCACCTTTGAATATATTTTAAAAGTATGCTCATAGACAATTAATATACTCTTTGTGTATTTGAATAGCTCTACTTTTAGATGAAAAAAAAAACCCAACCCATAATGCATGATGCAATTCTCCATATTACACATCTATTTGCACACTTTGATACATGCTATTAAACATCTACTTGCATACTTTGATACATACTGTATATATTAATATTTACGATTTTTTATGTGACAAAGTCACTTCTTGTTTGTTGTTGTTGTTGCTATGTGCCGTCGAATCGTTTGTGACTCATAGTGACCCTATGCACAACAGCCCTAAACCCTGCTCTATCCTGCGCCAACCACACTGCCTCCGACACATCCATCCCGATTACCCCAGTCACGGAATCAATCCGTCTCATAGAGGGTCTTCCCCTCCTGCGCTGTCCCTCCACTCTCCCAAGCATGATGTCCCTCTTCAAGGACCCGTCCCTCCTGGCAACATGTCCAAAGTATGTCAGACGAAGCCCCAGAATCCTTGCCTCCAAGGAGTAGCTTGGTTTAATCCTCTCCAAGATGAATCTGTTTGTTTTCCTGGCAGTCCAGGGTACATTCAGTGCTCTTCTCCAGCACCACAGCTCAAAGGCATCCACTCTCCTTCTGTCCTCCCTAGTCATTGTCCAACTCTCTGATGCATAACAAGCGATTGCAAAGACCATGGCCTGTATCAGGCGCACCTTAGTCTCCAGAGAGACACTGTTGCTCTTGAGCACTTTAGAGAGGTCCCTAACAGCAGACTTTCCTATCGCAATACGCTTTTTGATTTCCTGACCGCTGGTGCCAAGAGTGTTGACTGTGGAGCCGAGCAAACTGAAGCTGTGAACAATTTCAATCTCTTCGCCATCCATCCTGACGCTGCCAATTGGTCCAGTGGTGAGAATCTTTGTCTTCTTGACATTGAGCCTCAGTCCATACTGAAGGCTGCAGTCCTTGACCCTCCACAGCATGTGCATGAGTTCCTCCTAAGTTTCAGCAAGCAGGGTTGTGTCATCTGCATAACGCAGATTGTTAATAGATCTTCCACCAATCCTGATGCCACAATTCTCCTCATAGAGCCCAGCCTCTCGGATAATCTGCTCTGCATACATGTTGAAAAGGTATAGAGACAGGATGCATCCCTGGTGTACACCCTTCCCAATTTTGAACCATGCAGTGTTACCCTGCTCTGTTCTGACTACTGCCTCTTGGTCCAAGTATAGGTTTCGCATTAGCACAATTAAATGTTCTGGGATTCCCATTCTTCTCAGAGTCAGCCACAGTTTGTTATGATCCACACAGTCAAATGCCTTTGCATAATCAATGAAACACAGATAGACATTCTTCTGGTATTCCTTGCTTTCAGCCAAGATCCAGTTTGTTTAATCAGCACAACCAATTTGGTTGGACTAAGAGCTATGTCACTCACTGGGGATAAAGTACATCTACAAGTTTTGTTTAATAGCACTCAGTAGAGACACATTGGGAATGCGAGAAAAAACTGAAAATAATTTGGGTAAGCTCAGGAATTCATGTTATAACTGATATCCAAAAACCAAGCAAGTTGTTCTGAAATTTGAAAGCTTATCTTTAATTCTTTATCAATAGCCAGTGTCAATATATCCTGTAATATTATAATCAAAAGTAAATTACAGATTTTATGCATTTTTATAACAAACTAAGGTTACAATATCACACACTTTAATGTAGGCAATGCAGAGCAAAGAGTTTGGGCTAGATTAAACTAAAGGTTGGCATTCAAATCCACCCAATAGTGCCATAGAAAGAAGCCCTCGTGATCCGCTTCTATAAAGATTACAAACAAGGAAACTTGTTCAGCAGTGCCACTCTGTGACACATGCTGTTGTCAGGCACTGGAATCAAGTCAACCACAACAGGTTTGAGAGGTTTTGTTTGTTTTAATATAGTCTTTGTACATAACTTGTTGTGTGCCACTGAGTCAGAATTCACTCATAGCTGATCCTCCTGTGAGTTTTCAGAGGCAGTTAATTGTACAGGAGACTGCCTACCTTTCTTGAATGGAGCAGCTGGTGGTTTTGAACCACAAGCCTTCAGGTTTGCAGCACAACTTCTTGCCACAGTACCACAGTTCAAATACACCAGTTGCTTTATAGGAGAAAGCTAGTCAGTCTCCTCTTGTATGATTGTACAGTGTTGGAAAAACTGCCAGAAGGTCAACTATGAGTCAGTTCCAACTCAAAGGCACACATAAACAACAGTACACAATCTCATTCAAATCAACAACATGTCAAATCTCATTCAAATCATCACAAAAATTACACAAAACTCAAATTTCTCTCTTCCGGGTTCTACAAAAAGGAGTTCACATCTTTGACTATTGGACAATGTCAAATCGCCACTATAAAAGTTTCTAAATGCTTTCTCTCAATGTCCGTACTTCTCTTTTCATAATCTGATAACAGTTTACACCAATATTTGACTCCAGGCTCCACTTTTGAGTAGAACTGTTTTAGATCCTCCTGCAGCATGAAAAAAAAAATCAGGATTTCATTCTCTTTCTCAGAAGCCAAAGCTTGCCAGAGTCCAGCAATAGTCTTGATGAGTGCAGCTACCAGACACAGGGCTACAAAAAAGTGGGGTATTCTGTAAGAGTTAAGTTGTATCAGATGAGATCAGCAGCATTCACTCAAACCACAGAGTTCTGTTCATGTTTTTATTCTGTATAATAGCTACCCATATCATACAGATCTTAGTTCATGCAAATAAAACCAATATTCGTTTCCCAGGGACAAGGGACTACACACATTCAAGGTAGAAAATAATATTAAGGTACAAATGACTTTCTCATTAAGAGCAGAAGAAAATACACCCATCATTATACTTGAAAAATGAAGGCAATGTGAATTGATGGTATTACTAATATAGTTTAATACTCAGCTTAGTGATAGATTCATGAGATGTTGATGTTTTCTAGTTATTTAAATAAAAACTGAGGATGCAAAAATGGGTACTGGTGCGTCATACACACAAGTGTTCAGTCTAAACATCTGGGAGCATATTCATTCCCTACTCACTAAATTTAATTTGTCTCAAAAGCTAATGCATTCCTTCCTACTGCAACTGCACAAATCCCCACCTCTCTCAAACCCAACCGCCGATGCTTCCATTCAGCATCATTAGAACGATCTTGTATTCTGGGCACTTTATTCATCTCTTTCCTTCCTTTCTCATCCCAATTAATTTGTGTTTTGTAGAATAAGAATTATCTTTCCAAAATCTAACATTAATCACTTCCATGCTAAAAACACTTGGTGGAGTACCATAACCTTCCTATAAAACCAAAATTCCATTTCATTTCTAATCTGAACCTCTCTTCACCATAATTCCTTCAACAATACCTCTGATGAAACTACAACATCTAACAATTGTCCATAATTCAAACAGCTCTTCCTGGATCTTACCTAGCTCTGGTGGCCTAATGATAAGGAGCTGTGCTGCCATCCCAAAGGCACATGGTTTGAGTCCACCAGCTTCTCCACAGGGAAAATGATGGACAATCTACTCCTGTGCTACTAAACTGTCTCTGACAGCCCTTTCAAGGGATGGCTATGAGTCAGTTCTGAATCGACAGTACACAATAGCTATATTTTGCTGTCAATAGCTCAGTGGGACTACACAAATCTAGAAAGGTGAGTTGCTCCCAGTTGTATACGTTAACATGTAATAAATGAAATTGAAATTATGATCATAAAGCTCTTACTGGGATCTAATACTCATCAACATCCAAGTGAAGTAAATCCCATTGGGAAGATGAAAAGTAACATATTTTGGGTCACTTTAAATTCTATCAGTGCTTGAAATTTCTCACAGTTAATATTCACTTCCTGTTGTGTATGTTTGTGTCCATGTGCATACATACACACCAACTTGTGTGTGCTATCTGTACAGGAGCATGTTGAAGAAGGCAGAGCCAGCCTTTACAAGTCGGTGGTGTCCAACAGCTGCAAGGAGATGTCTTGCTATGCAGACTTTCCATTTCCAGAAGATTACCCAAACTACATCCCAAATTCTCTATTCCTGGAATATCTTAAAATGTATGCAGACCGGTTCAACCTTGTCAAGTGCATTCAATTCAAGGTAAGATACTAACCTTCAGTCAGCAGGCAGAAGTATTTCTTACCTCTTTGCTATTATCTCACTATAGCCTTTTTTTTCCATTTAATTGCTGTTGAGTCAGTTCTCACAGACATTCTCCACTGGGTGTCCAATGCTGTAAATCCCTTATTAGGATGAATGGACATGATTCACAAAAATCTTTTAAATAATCAAACTAAATTTCTAAATCTGAAACAAATATTTCACTAAATGCTACTCATATTTGTGCCACAACATTTTAAAAGCAAGCAAATATTACCAAATTTTTTTAATTCTTTTTTTATTATTATTAAATTTTATTAGTTTCAATGAACATTCACAGGGATTCTGGGCTTTCACTCCTTCATTGCCGCACCATTCTCTCCACCCTCCGCCCCAGTTTGTTCTTCTTCCCCGCCATCCGAATGTCTGTTTTAATTGTCCAATTGCCACAGTGCTTGTCAAAGTCGCTTCTGATTATCTTCTCTGTTGGTGTGCCCTTTGCCATTCCCTATCACTCCTCCCTGAGAGAGACTTCACCCTGAGTCATAAGGAAAAGGGGATGGCGTATTCTCTTAGCTACTTCCTGCTGAAAAGGGACGCTGTGGGTTTCAGGGTGAAGATCTTCTCTCACTACTCTAAAGGGCCCCTTTGGCAGTAGGAAACACATAGACTATTATGGAGATTGATTTTGGAATTTAGATGCACTCTTATTGATTGTACTTGGCCGTACATGTTCATATCCTTGAAGATGTATCATGGGGGTGTTGCAACCTAGAAGACACAAATTTGACTAACAAGTTATAAGTACATGAGTCAAAAATTATGGAAAAGTAAAAAAAAGGATTCTTTCATTGTTTTACAAACCCTCCCCCAGGTCCCCTCCACTATGTAGCCCTCGCTCTAGACTCCTGTGATGACAGAAATACCTAGTCACATATCTCTTTTAAACAGTTTTCTCCCTCCTCTGTTTCAGTGCAGTATACATTATTGAACCCATCTTACTCAGTCTCTCCCCAATTTTTTGCCAATTCCTTCAAAGCAGCTTGAACTTCTTCCTTCATCACCATAGGCTCTTGCTCATATGTTTTTTCATCAAATTCTTCTCTGTCTTCCAATTCCTTTCAGTACAGTGACTCTGTATACTCTTTCTGTCTTCTTTTAATACTTCCTGGATTATTTGATATTCTACCCAAAGCATCCTTAAGTATAGCAACTTGAGGTTTGAATTTGTTCTTCAGTTCCTTGAGCTTAAGAAATGCTGACCAAGTTTGGCCCTTTTGATTTTCTCACTCCAGCTCCTTGCACATTTCATTGTAATGTTTTATTTTGTCTTCCCATGCTGTTTTTTGACATTTTCGGTTCAGCTCTTTAAGATCTTGAATTCTTCCCTCTGCTTTGGCTTCTTGGCACTCTAGTGCAATAATATTCAGAGCCTTTTCTGACATCCATTTTGATCTTTTCTTCCTCCTCTGTCTTTGTAATGACCTTTTGCACTCTTCCTGGATGATACTCTTTATATCCTCCCAAAACTCATCTGGTCTTCACTCATTGGTGTTTGAGACCTCAAAACTGTTCCTGAAATGGTTTTGAAATTCAGGTGGGATAGACTCAAGTTCTATTTTGGTTCCCGTGGATTTTATTTAATTTTCCTTAGCTTCAGCTGAAACTTACATATGAGTAGCTGGCAGTCTGTTCCACAATCAGCACTTGGCCTAGTTTTCACAGCTGATCTTGAGCTTCTCCAGCGGTTCTTTCCACAGACGTAATCAATCTGATTCCTATGTGTACCATCAGGTGAAAACCATGTGTATAGCCTGTGTTTATGTACATGAGTTTAATAATGTGAAAATGCAAAAAAGCACTTCAAGTAGTTCACTTATTCCTCAATGGCATAGCTTGTAGGGAGTTTCCCTGCTAATCTAAAGGCCTCACCTCTCTGGCCATTCTAAGCCACTAACTGTCCCTCAAGAAAATGATGGACAATGTCTTTCCATGTGATTTACACCCTTGGAAACCCAATAGATGGTCATCTGTGAGCCAGTTCCAACCAGACAGCAATGAGTGTGTGATGATTCCTAACTTACTAGCTTGTCTCTAACATCTCACATTAATGACAATAGCAAAAATTGTGTTGACTCTTTCACACATTAACAACATGTCTGGTAATAATAAATGACAAAGTACTAGGCAAAAGTAACATTGGCTTACTCTTGACGTTAAGGCTATGTATTAGTTTGGTTGGGCCACGATTTTCAATGTTTTGGCAGTTATATGATGATCTGATTTGGCAGTTAGTAGTGCAATGACTGCAGGAGAAGGATGGACAATCTCCTCCTGTGTGATTAACTGCCTCTGAAAACTCACTGGAGTATCAGCTATGGGTTGGTTCTGACTTGACGGTACACAACAGTGTCATGACTAGGGAGCAATCTTCTCCCTCATAATTTACTTCCTCTGAAAACTCAATAGTGGGTCAGCTACACATCAGTTCTAACTCAGTAGTATACAACAACAGTGTAATGACAAGGGAACTCTGGTGGCCTAGTTGTAAGAAGTTGCACTGGCAACTCAAGGGCTCACAGTTCAAATCCACTAGCCACCCCACAGGTAAAAGACGAGCAATCTCCTCTTCTGTAATTAACTGCCTCTGAAAACTCACTAGAGGGGCAGATATGAGTCCATTTTGACTCAATTGTACCTAACAACACTGTAACAATGTAATGATATTATCTAGAGTAATTTGGCAGTTATGAAATGATGTAGTCATCCTCAATTCTGTAATCTTATCTGGTCATTCTTTATTTTCACATAACAACTCAATCTTAGGGATCTAGCTATACTGATAACTGAAAAATGGATATATAAACAGAATAGCAAAATTAAGAGAAATATGACAAGCTTATGCTTGAAAATTCTGAAAAAAATTAAGTAAAACCTTTCCATTAGTGGATTATTTATGCTTTAAATTTTACTTCTCTTGAACTTATTGTACATGTATCTTCTGAATCCGAATCAAATAATCATGGACATGTATGTATTGAGTAGAAACAGAAATTGAACTATTTGATATCTGGATTAATCTCAGAAAATTCAGGCTACTGCTGTTGTTGTTAAGTTCTATCAAGTCAGCTTCTATGCATAGCCTCCCTAGGTACAACAGAATAAAATACGTCACAATCTTTGCATCCACACTATCTCTGCTATGCTTAAGCCTCTCCTTCAGTAAGTCTCTACTTTTCCAAGCATATTGTTCTTCTCCAGGGACTGGCCCAGCCCATCCTGGAAATATGCCCAAAGAATATGAGATGAAGTCTCACCATGCAAGTTATCGTATTTCAATAGTTTCATAGATATGGGGAAAGTTCAGTTATAGATTATCTAACATATTTCATAACATACTTGGGATAAAATTTCTGGTTTTACTTATAAATTAACCATGTTTTTTATTGAAGGAACTCTTGTTGAAGAGAAAGTTCTCTGGAAACCAAGGCTACATAAAAACAGAATAATGAAAAAGACACCAGAAGACTTAGATTACAATCTTGATTCTATTTCTTGCTGTGAAAATCTGAGCAAATCTCTTAGAATTTTTGGACCTCAGTACTTCTCTTAGTTACTTCTCCATGATGTCAACCTTAGAATGGTTCTATCCAGAAAATTATGATCAATCTGATAACCTGACTAGGTTTTTAGGACTAAATTTATTAATCATTTTTACTCTAGGCTCTAATATGCTTAAAATGTCAACTGGTACACCAGCCAGGAAGCACTGCCAGGATTCATGCAAACTACTGATCATATCTATGATTCTTTTTTCAGACCAAAGTCTGCAGTATAACAAAGCGCCCAGATTTTACTGTCTCTGGCCAATGGGATGTGGTCACTCTTCGTGAAGGGAAACAAGAGTCAGCTGTCTTTGATGCTGTTATGATTTGCACTGGTTTTCTTACTAACCCAAATTTGCCCCTGGACTGTTTCCCAGGTACAGTATCTTCTGCAACTTATGTCTTAACGAAGCCATCCTGATATGTGATTGTTCTGGAAAGAAATTCTTGAGGTTTTTGAGGTGTTTTTTTAAATAATTTTTTCTTTTTAAAAAATGTTATGCTGATTTACTCAAAAAGTCCGTATACGTTGTTTTTTCACACCATATCTCTCCCCTTTCCTTTACCGACCCCTCCCTCCACTCCTCAGATTGTGCCGCCTTATGATTAAGCCCCTCCCCCACCCATGCTCACTCCTCTGCTCCCCCTCTCAGATCCTCCTACTTGTTCTACAATAATGGTGTTATATAGTATTTGTCTTTATGAGACTGAGTTAGTTCACTTAGCATGATGCTTTCTAGCTTCTCCAAACTTAGGCAGTAATTTACAAAATCATTGCTCCTGCTTGCTGCATAGTATTCCAGTGTGTGAATATACCATAATTTCTCAATCCATTTGTTTGTGGTTGGACTTCTGGGCTGTTTCCATGTTCTTGTGATGGTAAATAACTTTGCTATGAACATTGGTGTACAAGTCTCTGTGCCTCAGTTCTCATTTTCTCAAGGTATATTCCAAGCAGTGGAATAGTTGGGTCGTATGGAATATCTATGTTCAGCTTTTTAAGGAAAAGCCAAACTGCCGTCTGGAGTGGTTGTACCATTTTACAATTCCACCCACAATGTATAAGAGTTCCTATCTCACCACATCCTCTCCAACATTTATTACTTGCCGCCCTGTTAAACTTCGCCACTGCTACTGGGGTAAGATGGTATCTCATTGTGGTTTTGATTTGCATCTCTCTTATTGCCAGTGATTTTAAACACTTCTTCATGTGTCTGTTGGCCATCTGAATGTCCTCCTCTGTGAAAGTTCTTTCAATGTCTCTTGCCATTTTGTAATTAGATTATCTGTCTTATTCTTGTGGAGACCCAGGAATATTCTATAAATTTTCATTATGAGGCCCTTGTCTGACGTGGTATTGCCAAATATTTGTTTGCCAACAGTAGGTTTTCTTTACACTCTGTTGGGAAAAGTTTTGGTTGAGCACAGAGATTTAATTTTTAGAAGGTCCCATTCATTCATTTTATCCTCTTCAGATTGTGCATTTCTGGCTATATTTGGCAGTCTCTTTATACCATAGACGAGGTCTTCTAAGTTTGATCACAGTTTGTCTCTTATGAACTTTATGGTTTGGGGCTTTAACTGGGAATGAATTCTTGTGGCTCACTCATTAAATAGTTGTTGAGTTCACAGAGTTTTATTTCTAATCACAGTTTTCTGGCTAGTTTTTGCTTTTATTTAGAGCATATTATTTCACACAAAGTTGAGTTTAAAAGAGTAAAATGAATGTCTTAATAAACAGTGTTATGCTTCACTGATGTTCAATGTCCCTCCTTAAATAAGTTTTGGCATGCAGGAAGTCTTCAAAGGCATGGCTGCTTAGGCAAGTTGCTAGCCTCGGCAGCAGCTGTATAATCAAAGTAAAGATTAGAACCTACAAAGGTCAATCCACGTGTAAATAAAATGCCATGTTTTATTCACTGGTTGGTTGGTTTGCTACATGACACAGCAATTTGCCTTATTATTAAAAGTTTATGGCATGAGTTCAATATCCAATAGGGGATGAGTCTTAAGAGAGAAGGCAAGAGATTTTTTTTTTTTTTTATTTATCAATAGTTTACTGAGACACCTAGCAACAACCAGTCAATCTATAGTCTTGTGAGGAAAGTGTTCACAAGCAATTATGCTAGTTGTCTATGAAAATAGCTTCATTCAGATTTGAGAACTATCAGTATTTGTAAAAAACCCTGGAAAAATAAACGAAGGCTAATACCACTGTAAGGCAATCAAATTTTGTCTTTCACTACATAAATAAATAAATCAGGGCGCTGTAACATTTGGCTCAAGCATGAAAGAGATTGTGAGGATTGCACAGGATCAGACAAAGCTTCAATCTGTTGTTTTTAGGGTCCTAAGAGCAATGGTGTCTCTCTGGAGACTAAGGTATATCTGATACAGGCCATGGTCTTCGCAATCATTTGTTATGCATCAGAGAGTTGGACAATGACCAAGGAGGACAGAAGGAGAATTGATGCCTTTGAGTTGTGGTGCTGGAGAAGAGTATTGAGAGTACCATGGACTGCCAGGAAAACAAACAGATTTGTCCTGGAAAGGGTTAAACCGGGTGGCTCCTTGGACGCAAGGATTCTGAGGCTCCGTCTAACATACTTTGGACATGTTGTGAGGAGAAACCGGTCCTTAGAGAGGGACATCAAGCTTGGGAGGGTGGAGGGACAGCGCAGGAGAGGAAGGCCCTCAATGAGGTGGATTGATTCAGTGACTGGGATAATTGGGATGGGAGTGTCAGAGACAGTGCGATTGGCACAGGACAGAGTGGAGTTTAGGGCTGTTGTACATAGGGTCGCTATGAGTCGCAAGCGACTCGACGGCACATAACAACAACAACAACAACAATGAGCTGTGGTCTACGGAGGGTGTCTAACAAGTATACTTACTTATTAAGGACTTTGCTTTAAGGAACTATACTGTTATCTTGACAAGTCCTTGAGCGATGCAAATGGTTAATTACTCAACATTTTTTTTTAATTATTCCTTCCTTCTTTTCATTCAAAACTAACCCTTCAATAGGAACATTTTTATTTCTTTCTTCTGTTTTTGTTGGTAGGTGCCACTTAATCCACGAAGACTGATAGCAATTCCAGGAACCAAACATCCTCATGATCTCTGATATGCTCAAGCCCATTGGTAGTTACTGTGTCAGTCTGTCTTACTGAGGGTCTTCCTCTCTTTGATCCTCCACACTCCCCAGCATGTTGTCTTTTCCCAAACACTGGCCTTTCCAGACAACATGCCCAAAGTATGTGATGGCACCTGTTGTCATATCTTAGAGACATCATTCTTGCCTTTCTGAAGGAGTATCCTCTTTGCACTTCCTCTAAGCACAATTTGTTATTTGGGAAGCTGATGAGATATTCAGTACTCTTCTCCAACACTACAATTCAAAACCATCAGTTCTCCTATCACCCTTACTCATTGTCCAAATTTTAATTGCATAGAAAATAAATAAGAAAGGTTGTACAGGCATACCTTGGCTTTTAGCTGACATCTGTGTTCTTAAACACTTTGAAGCAGTCTTTGAAAGCAGCTTTTCCCAAAGAAACACATCTTTTGATTTATTTTAATTGCTACTACCAAGGGCATTAATTGTGGAAGCAATTAAATTTACATCCTTGACAACTTTGAGCTTTTCTCTGTCTCTTAAAACCTTGCCCATTGGTCCAGGGTTTAGGATTTTGTTTTCTTTTTTTTTTATTAATTTTAATAGACATTTACAGAGGTTTTGGAATTCCATTCATTCATTGCTGCACTTTTCTCCCTGCCCACCCCTCCCCACCAGTTTGCTCCCTTCTCCAAAAAGAAAAGGCAAGAGATCCTTGAGTTTCAGTTTCTTCATATGCATTTTGCAACCATAATTCATGTCAATTTTCAGCTGAATTACAAATCAAAAGATAGAGAATGTTTTTGTTTGATTTATTTGATCTGCAGTGAGGATTCAAAACATGAGGACTCTAGGAAGCCTTTCTCTTTATTATTATTTTTGAGTTGATTTTGACTCATGCTGTCCCCATTGGTCACTACAGTTGTACCAAACTAAAACTACCCAAAACTGTTCTAGGCTCTAATCTTTACGGAAGCAGATCACCAGCTCTTTTTTCTCCCCCATAACCCCAGAGCAGCTGATAGGTTCAAATCACCAACCTTCTGGTTAGCATCAAAAACTTATTTACTATACCACCAGGTCTCTTTCCTTAGCCAAACTGAAATTGTCATAGAACAGAATATTTGAATTGGAAAACATCAAGATGAGTTCTCTTCCGTTTGTTGCATCTCCAACATTAGTGAAAGAGGCTCAGCAGCATCTGCAGAAACACATCCAACCATGGATTTTCACCACATTTTAAGGCAATGCAATCGTTTGCCAGCTCTTGCCTGCAAAACAACCTCAAGCTGACTCTCCAGTGGATTCTCAGAGGCTATATATCACATTGGAAGAGATTGCCTATGTTTCTCTCACAAAGCAGCCAATGGATTCAAACCATCTGCCTAAAAGTTGGCAGTATAATTCCTTACTGACTAGGCCACAGACCTTTTTAGTATAGGGATTACACCATATTTATTCAAAATCTCTTATTGCACTGCCAACTCAAAGGTGGTGGTGGTTGCTGTTATGTGCGGTCGAATCACTTGCGACTCATAGCGACCCTATGTACAACAGCCCTAAACTCTGCTCTGCCCTGTGCTAATCGCACTGTCTCTGACACACCCATCCCGATTACCCCAGTCACTGAATCAATCCACCTCATAGAGGGCCTTCCTCTCCTGTGCTGTCCCTCCACCCTCCCAAGCATGATGTCCCTCTCCAAGGACCTCCTTACAACATGTCCAAAGTATGTTAGACAGAGCCTCAGAATCCTTGCCTCCAAGGAGCCGCCCGGTTTAACCCTTTCCAGGATGAATCTGTTTATTTTCCTAGCAGTCCATGGTACCCTCAATACTCTTCTCCAGCACCACAGCTCAAAGGCATCAATTCTTCTATCCTCCTTAGTCATTTTCCAACTCTCTGATGCATAACAAGTGATAGCATAGACCCTGGCCTGTATAAGAAGCACTTTAGTCTCCAGAGAGATACCATTGCTCTTCAGTACTTTGGAGAGGTCCCTAACAGCAGACTTTCCCATGACAATACGTCTTTTACTTTCCTGGCTACTGGTGCCAAGAATGTTGACCGTGGAGCCAAGCAAACGAAAGCTGTGAACAATCTCAATCTCTTCACCATCCATCCTAATGCTGCCAATTGGTCCAGTGGTGAGAATCTTTGTCTTCTTGACATTGAGCCTCAGGCCATATTGGAGGCTGCTATCCTTGACCCTCTGCAGAAAGTGCTTCGGGTCCTCCTAAGTTTCAGCAAGCAGGGTTG